GTTTTCGCTCGTCGTGCTGGAACCGGCCCCGGCTCCTCTGCCAAGAGCCGCTGGGCTGAACGCGTTGCTGTTGCTCCGCGCAGCTGCCGGGCCGGGCTCAGCCACGGGGTCCAGCAGCGTGATCGCAACGGCCACACAATCCAGCCAGTGTCTTAATCCCGGCCTTCCTGTGGGAGGAACGGCCCCGGCCTCCCCCCGCACGCTTCCGCTCCTTGTTTGCCTTAGTCCATCCCAAACAGCCCACAAAAAACTCAAGCCGTGCAAGCGATGCATCGCCGGTACCATGACCATCGTAGAGCTGTTCCCACCTCCCTCCTAACCATGCTGGGTCTTGCTTGAGCGTCCGGCTCACGCTGCAACATCCCATCGCTCATTTACCTCCAGATCTCGATTCCTAAACTGACTCTTGCTTGAGTAATTATTACCTCAAGTCCAGTTTATGTAGAGTTGTATCCACTTCCTTAAAGGAGCTATTCTTAAGTAGAGAAATATCCATCCGAAAAGCCACTGAAATCCAGCTTCCACCGGGAAAGCCTCAGTTTGCAGGCACAAGTTAAACCGGTGCAGCATCTCCAAGCCCGCACCAGAGTGAAGTAAACTGCTCGCAGGGCACTCGCACAAGGGCAACCCCCGAGCACTAGGATGGTCTGTGACCCAAGCACCACAGCGCAGGGCTTGCTGGGGGAGGGCAGCAGCGAGCCGGGACTCCCTGGGCTCATTTTCCCTCCCGCAGCAGACCCTCCCGCCTGGCACTTGGAACTGGAGCTGCAGCCAGCTCCTTGGATTCCCTGGAAAGCCGTCGGCGCCGAGCGAGGTCAGAGCCCCCCGCGAGATCAAACAAGCAGCCGAGGGAGAGGAGAAAACCTGCAAGTGGGAGGTTGAACACAAAGATGTCACAAAGCCGGGACAGAAGTCACCCCCCTACCCCAGAGAGCGCACTGCACCAGAGCCTGGGTCTCCCACGGGCGAGGGGGCTTTGCTTTTCCCTTCCACGCTGGGAATTCAGACCGCAGGACGGATGGCTTTGCTTCGAGGAGAGGTACGTTAGAGGCAACTAACTTTACAGCAGGAGCAGGCAGAGGGGTGCTTAGGCGAGGGCAGAGCGCTCCCTTCCCGTGCCTCTGCAAGAGCACTGAGGGACCATTGAGGGGCTGTGTTGTCCTTGGCCTCCTCTCACACATCCCGCGTGGTGGGACATGGCACACGGGCAGGAAAACCTATTCATCGGAGACGGAGGGTAACGAGCGCGATCGTTTTGAAGGCTATATATAAATGAGCGTACAAACATCAGGAAAACGCTTTTGCCTGGAACAGCGGTTAGTGGGGGAAGCTTGTGGCAGGAGAAACTAGTCTACAGTGGAAAATAAATCCAGCAGCAGCTTAATGAGCTTCTTATTAGCTCTCCTTTGTCTCTGGCATCCAGCACAGGCCACTTGCTTGAAACCCAGTACGGATGGAGCCCTCTGCTTCGCCCCAGATGCCCCATGGCACGTTGCTGGTGGTGGAATGATGTGGGCACATCCCCTCAGCTGCATCCCTGGCACGCTGTCCTCCATCCGCTGGGGCTACTCGGGGCTGTGCTCTCCCACGGTGGCAGCCAGTTTGTGACACGCAACTTGTTCCCCAAAACCCACAAAAGCAACCCCAAAACTGGGCTTAGAGTTGGTCAGGCTAGAGACAGGCGTGCGGCCCTGACAAGGGGGAAGGCGGAGGGCGAGGTGCGCACAGACAGCAACGCCAGGCTCCAGCTGAGGCTCCCTGTGTGCACGCAGGCATTACGGGAAGGGTAAGGATTCAGATCCCACCCTCCGAGAGTGGCTGGAGAGCCAGCAAGAGAAAATCTTTTACCAGAAGGCCCTGAATGTATTGTTTTAATATCTCCTCGCAGGCCAAGAGTACAGGGGCCTGGGCAGAGGGAAGCGGCGAGAGCTGTTTGCACACCTGCCTTCCCCTTGGCCGTTCCCCTGTTTTCCAAACAACAGAGACAGAGGGAGAGCAGGGGGAAAGAGGGATTGATTTCACAAGCGAGGCTCCAACCCCTGCCTTCGGCAGATGAAAGGCCAAGGCAGCCCCTGCCCAGATGAAAGGCAGGGCACAGGCTCTGCCTGCGCACCCCGGCGTGGAGCGAGCCGGCGTGGCAGGGCCCCCGGAGAGGTGCGGACCACCAGCCCTCCCCTCCGGGCTGGGGGCAGCGGCGTGGCAGCAGAGCTTCGCCAAGGTTTCACAGATGCTCCTCC